CTTGTACTGCTGCCGGTGAATACCCGGAAGTGAGAGAGTGAGAATGTGAGGTAACCGCCTTGTAGGAGTCACAGTTGCGAGCACGTAGACTCAGAAGGAAGTCCTACTTCAATAATGAATTCCCCAGACTGTATATATATTATTATTGCTACTAACCGCCTTTCTGGATCTACTAACCGTATTACCAATTGTATTATTACGTCAATACATTTATTTGCTGCTATATTTCATTCCTGCGTTTGTCATTCATTTGAGACCGGATTTCATCCCGGAATCCACAACATATATATACTGTGTATTTAGGTAGCAAATGTTCTTTAAGGAAAATACTATTTGAAACAACAGACATTTTGTTTTGATCAATTTTAGTGATTTAGTAAGTTACGAATCATACACCTGGAAGAAATTCTATCAGAAAATATTTCAAAGTTCATTTTGGAGCAAAAGTAAAGGGAATATGATCGAAGCTTTCGACTTTCTTAAACAGGTGTCCATGAATTACAAGTATTAGTTGTTTCATTGGCATCAGTTTCTTTGAAACTGCCAGTGGGGAGTCAACAGAATTTCCACCCACCTTGTCTCGAAACCCACCCTTATATGAATTGTGGCCTGAAATCTGCAAATCACTGTCATTTCAGGCATAAATACATGAACTAATTTAATTGCTGGACATTCATACATCGAAATTATTGGGAGAGTTCATCAGATATATGGTAAATACATGTCAAATATGTCAAAATACAGATTTGAACTCAGTGAACTTTTTATCATGCGTGACATTTGGACCCAATTGTATAAACCTTTCAACATATCAATCACAAAATTTTTATAATTATACATGATAAAAGTACACATACACACACACACACACACACACACACACACACACACACACACACACATATATATATATATATATATATATTATAATAAAAAGAAAGAACAGTAATATATATAATCCAGTGTTCTTATTTGATATTTTTATTTTTACAAAACAGTGCTCAATGTAAATTTACTGAACATAAATATTATAAATTAACTGATTTAAAATATGGTTTCTTCACTACACAGGAATTACCATGTTTCAAAACTGAAGCTAAAAACTTCAAATTTAATTATATAATTAAATTAAGAGCATTAGTTATGTTTCCTCTTCAAGCGAATTTTGGAATAACTTATTTTTAAATTTACTGAGTTTTAAACGCACGCATAAATTCATAATTTCCTGTTTCCAAGGATACAGAGAAATCCAATCATTCAGAGAGGGGTGGCAGCGTGTTCATTTTTATTAACTATTATTGTATCAATTATGAGTTACGTTCGAAAAAGAGGTTAAGTTTAGGGAGGGTAGGGGGGTGCATTTTTCAACGAATTTTGACATCTGTTCAACGCATGTCGTCTGTTTGTTTTTTTTAATTGAGGACAAAAACTTTTTCGGCATTTTTTTCCTTTAAATTCGTACTTGTATACTTTAAGATTCTTTCTAAAAGGGCTGTTTGGGTTAGAATGCGTTATATCGAACTATAATTTTAAGATATTATTTTTACTTTTATTTACTAACAGACCATATTTCTTTTTAAATCAAGTAAATGTAATAGAATTATTTAAATTATTTAAAATTATATATATATATATATATATATATATATATATATTATTATATATATATATAATTATTGTATATTGCCTTGATAAATTCTCTCAAAGGATGAAATGCATCAGCTAAGTATAGTTCTTCCTCTTGTTTCTTTTTATTCATATATATATATATATATATATATATATATATATATATATATATATATAGGAATATAGTTTTATGGTGCGCTATATTTAAGCGATATAGTGCTCAATATCAGAGATAGAGCGTAAATATAAATATAAAAGTGAACATTGGAATCAAAACTCAGAGGCGACAAGCTGTTTCATGCTGGACGCGATCATATAAAATCAAATAGTAAAAACAGACTTATGAAGCAATATTCATACAACAAAAGTAACTATTACGGGTTCGGATACCCCACGTTAACTTCGGCCTTGTGCCACATCTGACCGCGTGTGGCGATTGGCAAATATCCTTGCTTCGGCAATTAGTTGGAGATTCGTTTCTAGCTAAGCTAGTCGAACTCTCTGACGTCGGGCCGAGGGAACACAGACGAGGGTATGCCGAAGGGCAGAGTCTCGTCTGGTGTGGTAGACACCTACCCGACCCCGTTTTTTACGGTGTCTACGGGAAATTTTTGCCCGAGCTTATGAGCTCGGAATACCCAACGTTAAATTCGGCTTGTGCCATATCTGACCGCGTGGGCGGTTGGCAAATATCCTTGCTTCGGCAATTATTTGGAGTTTCGTCCCCAGCTATGCTGGTCGAACTTTCTGCCTTCGGACAGAGAGGAACCTAGACGAAGCTATGCTGAAAGGCAGAGTCTCGTCTGGGGTGGTAGATAGCTACCCGACCCCGTTTATTACGGGGTCAACGTCAAATTTTGGTCCGAGCCTACGGGAACGATTTTACCCCGCATTAAAAATGGCCTTGTGTCACATCCTGCATCGCGGGGTGGTAAGGTAAATAACATTGCTTCGGCAATTAGTTGGAGATTCGTCTCCAGCTAAGGTAGTCGAAGAGAGGAGAGGAACCCAGACGAGTCTATACCAAAGGGCAGAGTCTCGTCTGGGGTGGTAGATACCTACCCGACCCCGTTTTTTACGGGGTCTCCGGGGAATTTTGCCCGAGCCTACAAGCTCGGTTTTTACCCCTCATTAAAAAAGGCCGTGTTCCACATTCTGCCTCATGGGGAGGTAAGGTAAATAACCCTGCTTCGGCAGTTAGTTGGAGATTCGCCTCCAGCTTAGCTGGTCGAAATCTCTGCTCGAAGGCAAAGAGGAAACCAGATGAGACTGCCGAAGGGCAGAGTTTCGTCTGGTGTGGTAGAAAGCTACCTGACCCCGTTTTATACGGGGTCTCCGGGAAATTTTACTCGAGCCTACGGGCTCGGTTTGACCCCGCATTAAAAACGGCCTCGTGCTAGATCCTACTTCGGGGCGTGGGGTAATGTAAATAACCTTGCTTCGGGAATTAGTTGGCGATTCGTCAAGAGCTGAGCTGGTTGAACTCTCTGTCTTCGGGCAGAGAGGAACCCAAACGAGGCTATGCCGAAGGGCGGAGTCTCGTTTGAGGTGGTAGACAACTGCCCGACCTCGTGTATACGGGGTCTACGGAGAATTTTTGCCCGAGCCTACGGGCTCGGTACTCTACCTTCCCTCTCTTTCAGTGTTGTATTCTCTTTTACAATTAACCTCTCTTCATCTACGCGCGTGTTGCCGTTCCTTCACTCGAGCACCACCTTTGTCTGTAACCTCTTTAAGCATACGACAGTTACTTCCTATTTCAGGTGGTTGGTATGTCGAACTGAACCCTTTATTTCGCTCACTGGGGTAGACTATTCTAGTTCCACTTGCCATGTTTCAATGGATGTCAGTTGTCAGTTATCTCCTGTTAATTCCCCTCTCCAAGTTCTCCACTGTCTTAACCGGGTATTGAACTCACACTCTTTGGGTCCTGTCACTGGATATAACTAACGTCTTTATCCATTGTCAAGGACACATGGCACAGTGGATAAAGGCGTTAGTTAGTCTTAAGGAAAATAGAAAGCAAAAAGGACAACTGAAATTTCTTGAGGAGAGAAGGCTTGGAGAGTTTGATATTCAGAAGATATATTGAAGGCAAAAAAAAAGAACAGGGTTAGGCAGTGGACCATCTACCTGATAACATGTATGTAGTGAAGATGGAATGAAGTGTGTGGGTGGGATGCCAAAGTGTTATCACATTGCTAAGAGCTACAAGAGATAGGAGGAGGTTGAGGCGGGCTATGATCAGCCTCACCCTGAAGGAACATGACACACAGAAAAAGAAGACAATCCAAGATCGAAAAATAGGACAATAGCAAAATTCACTTGTTTGGCCATCCTCATAATATTGCTGAACACAAAGACAACCCGGCTTATATCAGTGCACCAGAAATGTGGCTCTACAGAAGGATGCTGAGAATGCCATAGTCTGAATATATGAGCAATGAGGAAGTTTTAAGGAAAATGGAAACTAAAAGGAGCCTTATACTTAGAACCAGAAATAGACAGTTGAAATTTATTGGACATAATGAGGATAGAAGGTTTGAAGAATTTATCACTCAAAGGACATATTGAAATCACGAGAAACAGAGAGAAACAAATAAGCTTCCGAATAAACTTGGGTAAATGGATGACAGAACAGTGAAGGATAGTGAAAAGACAAACCTTACTGACAGTTACAAAGGATGGAAAGTTGTGGAGAGCCATTATCGATCAAGTGCTGAAGAGGCACAACACAGAGAAGAAGAAATTTTCGTCAAATATTTTTAGTATTTTTCAGTTCTCGGGATGTTTTTTTTTTTTCCATTATACGCAATCTTCTACTCACCGCTGTAAGAAAACTGGAAAGAAAACTGTAAGAAAAATAAGAAAACTGTAAGAAAACTGGAGAAGGTCTACAGTTCATAAAATACTGTTTTTCTATTGGTTTACAATGTTTGTTGTTTCTTTTACACATTTAATTGAGCGTCCTGGGTATGACGATAAACTCCATCCAACAGCAAGGTCTTTGATCAGGAGGTTTTGAGGAGCATGGAACCACCTCTTAATTGCTGGTATTCCCAGGTCCACCCTGATCCGGGGTGGTAGCACTTGTCAGGGTCTGAACTATGGGCAAATAGTTAACTCCGCACAATGGATCAAAACACTATGACAGTGTAAAATAAGTTTTAATATCAGCTATACTTTTTTTTGGAGAAATTATTACCAGCAATACATTTTTGAAAAAAAATAATTGTCAGCAAAACTATTTTGAAAAAAAAAAATTACCAGCAATAAAAAATCTTGTCGGCATTAAATAACCCATTGAGATTGATATGCCATAAAACAAAACAAATAAACCAAACATTTAATTGACCTTGAACCAAACTTACGCTGTCATAAGCCCAGTTTCTTTCTTTCTGAGTTCTTTATACAACACCCAACTTTGGTAAGGTGGTCTGTTTGGATGTTTTCCTTCCATTCGCATAAATTCTTCCACAAGGTTTGGGTCAGCCAGGCAGACGTTGGTGTGGGGCCCAAAATTCAGCTTAAACATACGGCCATATTTTTTGTGAAACTTTAACTGAAAATAATATAAGAAACAACAGAATTAATTCACTGGTAAAAGTAAACATTTCTAATACATATATACATTGTTTTTTTTTATCGAGTTTACCCCATGCAAGGAAGTAAAGCCACCATGACAGAGAAGGTTGCTGGGTGTTGAAGAGTTAGAAACAGAAACATTACTAAAAAGCGAGAACAAAAGAAGAGGAATCAGGAGGAGAGTAGATAGCAATTGACATTGCATTTAAATCTTTGCAAATACATATATACATACATACATAATTTTTAAGCGATAAAAATCTGTTGGATTAATAAATAAAAAAAAATCATTATTTCTTTTATTGCTTTATGTTTGGATACGAAACACAGCAAATAGGGGAAAAAAAAAGGAAAATCTATGACGGAAAGGGTTTTGCTTGAAAGGCACTATTCAGCACTTCTTGATCAGCAATGCCCTTCGTAGCTGAGTCGATATAAGCACGTCGGATCTAATGACGATTTCTCCCGCGAAGTGGGGGTGCAGGTTTTAATCCTGTTGAAGAGTATATTTTTCCTTAATAAGATTTCTAGAATATTAACGCTGGTAGACCATAATAAATACACTGTTTAAAAATTTAAAAAAATTGGGGTGTCTACTCAAATATCAATCAGTTATATGCCATGCGTGATACATGCTTAGGCGATCATGTATCTTTTGATACATGACTGACGAAGCAGATTTTTTTCATGCAGTAGGTTGTCATTTCTTTCTGCAGTAGATCAGTTATCATCAAAGGCTATAGAACCCAGTCTGTCCTGCTATTTACCCGTAGCTGGTTTGAGAAGAATAGGATTCATACCTTTCCCAAGGGTATTAGCACGTAAGAGAACGTAATGGATTTGACTGGAATTCGAACTCGGTTCTCCGATTTCTAAATCCGAGCCGCTATCCATTACTCCACTGTTCCTCCTACTCAAATACGGGTATCCATAAAAATAATGTTCAAGTGATAAATAAATAAAAATCCATTACTTCTTTAGACATACATGCATTGCATACATAATGGCTGGTCATTTGCATCCGTCTAATCCCTGCTGCAGATGCCTGGCACATTTTGGTTTTGTTCAACACTCACAAAACCCACCTGTAGTTTATACCTGATGAAGGCCGGAGAGTGGGAGAACGGTCAAAAGTTTGTGATAACAACGACAAAGCGGAGGATAATAGCCTGAATATAAATAGTGAAAATAGCGAAACGTTAAATTTATAAAGGTGTTCCTAGTTGTTTCTCATTTAATCTGTCTGTCTGTCTGTCTCTCTCTCTCTCACACACGCACACAAATATATATGTGATACATGCTTTTGACTAGCAATTTTTAATTTGCATAAGTCTGCTTAAAGATCAGTGAAAGTTCTTTAAGGATTATGCAATCATATAATAATCGTGCTTATCTCTCCCTTCGTCATCACGACTGTAACGCCCTGCTAATACCCCATAAACAATGGACTATTCCGTTTTGAAAGACAAAGCATATCAGAGACGCTTCTTGGTTTCTGTGATAAAAAGAAAGACAGAAGCGTTTAACGTCTCCTGCTAATACCTCCTAAATATTGGACTATTCCGTTTTGATCACATGAGAAGACAAAATACATCAACAAATCTATCTGATTTCAGCCAGAAAAATGAAAAGAAGAACGAAAGTGTTTAACGTCTGCTTCAGTGAATTGGAAAATGTTTTCAATTTCAATATTTTCATTTTTCTTTAAATAACGAACACCATTCCTATTTATGATTTTTATTGCAATATTTCGTTAAAGTTTTTAAGTTCAAATATTTAAAGATGTGATAGGGGAATGTCTGTGGATTGTCTTAAAACTCATGTGCTTATTCAGTCATTAATTGAAGAATTAAGATTCATTAGAAATTTAAAATAAGAAGACCGCGAAATTTTCAAGGTTTAAAACTGGCTAATTTTATCTTTGTATGTTTTCAATCATTTTCCTGATTTCCGGTAAAAGTTTAAATAATTAAAAAGTTCCTAAAAAAATAACACTGGTAGCATTTTATTGATGTTGAATTTTAAAAAAATCCATATTACGAAAGAACCAATTCTGTCTCCGTCATACACTGTCTACGTGTGACTTTGATTGCGTGCATGTAATGTATGTGCGAATGTATGTATTGTACGTAAGCGACTTACATGTGCTTGTGTTGGCTCAGCGTCCACAAAATCAACCTATACAAAGCCAACCTATGATTTATACTGCAACTACGCTGAGCGTGTAACAAAGAGTAAAGTGTTGAGCGTTGCTTAGGGACAAAAAGTTGTAAAGCGCCATGTTCGGTCACGTCCTAAAGAGGCACGCCACATAAATGATGATTATCGGATTATCGGGCTATCAGAATATCGATAATCTACCTGTACATAATGATGATAATAAAGTTGGTTTTGTAGAAAGAAAATTTAAGTTTCTGACTCTGGTGCAGTTGGCGTTAATGGATTAAATATTTAGTTTCTGTATATAAAATGCAACAAAAAAAACCCTGGGTACCATAGCTCTTCGCTATAGTACCTAGAGTTTTTTTTTAAGCGCATCACTAGACTGACGTCGAGATATAATCATTATACAATTGAGTTGGCGAGATGTAGTCGTAAATTCTATGCTAACATTTTATGCGCATTTTTCTCCTATAGAACTCCCTTCCGATTCCATGCTTTCCAGACAACTTTAATCTTCAAAATTTTAAATACAATGTCAATCGGTATCTTCTGTCCATCTGATTATTCTTTTCTTTTTCTGCTCATCATTAATGTTTCTGTTCTTGAATCTTCCACACCCTGCAACCGCTTGCGTTTTAGTAGCATTATTGCCTTGCCTGGGGTGCTTTCGATTAAAAAAAAAAAATTGCCCGAGGAAATTCTTTATCTAGTTAGTCCAAAGCCGAAAAGCTGGAGTCGTTCACTTAAAATGGCTTTTATTCACTTGTCTTATTTTTTACTTGTTACGCTAAAATGACATCCCGAGAAAGGGGGGTTTCGGCTAAGGTTCTCAAACACAGAGGGAAAGAAAAACCAACTTTATTGAACAAATACACATTCCCTACATAATCTGCACAGTTAAAAGAAATATGGCTGCAGGGTAAGAAAGACTGAATGAGAATAAAAAAAAAGAAGAAATAAGTGGCTAATAGAAAAAGTTACATGGAACTAGAGAGAGTTTACGGTATTAGAAAATGGATTAAGATGTTAAAAAAAAGAAGAAAGATGTAAAAGGTCTGGTTTGAAATCAGTCCCCGTTCAAAATAGCTGTTATTCACGATTGAAAATTACAAGCTTAATTTATTCGATTTATACAAGGCTTTTTATTGTGAAAGAAAAGTTAACCTGTGGGGAAAATGAATAAGAAATTTTGGGGGTTAGATTGTAAAATAAATATATTTGAGCACTTTGTTCGTAAAAAGTCATAGCCGCAGGGTTAAATTATAAAAGTACTTTTCTCCTTAGAGCAAAAATGTCCGCTTTGAAAGAAAGGAAAATTACAATGATTCTATTCATATATACATACTCAAATATAGTGTGATTTTTATGATCGTTTTTTTACGCAAAAAAAAAAGAAAAAAAATATGGGGACGCACTGGTAATTTTTTGAAGAGGTTAAAAATCATGCATTTTCGGTGACCGGTTGCACTATGCACAGGTAAATTAAAAGCAAATTACAAATCGTTATTTTTAGTGGATACTCGTATCTCAGTAGACTCCTCGTTTATTTATTAAACAGTATATTTATTTATTTTCGTCTACCGGCTTGAATATTCTAGAAATTTCAGAGAAAAAAATATACCCTCTCCGGCAGGATACGATCCTGCGTTCCTTTAGGAAACCATCCTAGATCTGATGCATTTTAACCTCTCGGCTATAGAGTGCGTTTATCACCGAGCAAAGCTGAATAGTGGTTTTAAAGACCGATTTTTCTCTTAGTCAGTAATGACTGTTTCTTAAAGCTTAATCACTTTTCGACCCTATAATATTATTTGTGTTCCTATAATAGTATTTTTCGGATTGCGAGAAAATTATTTTGATATTTCTTGAAATAATTAAAGTCAACTCGTACCATGTTGTACAGTATCAATTCAGTCAGTTATGTGCCATGCGTGATACATTCTTTCGACACTTTCCTGCAGTAGGTTGCTATTTTTTCTGCGACAGGCCAGTTGCTATCCAAGGCTATAGAACCCTATAGCTTGGGAGGGGAAGAAGAGTCTTCATACCCATCTCAAGACTATTAGTACGTAAATTAATGCAATGGATTTGACTGGAATTCGAACTCGGCTCTCCGATTCCTCAATCCGAGCCGCTATCCATTACTCCACCGTACCTCCAGATTTTTATCCCATTTTTACCCATTACAAGGCTCAAGGGTCACTCAAGGTAGAGGATTAATGAATGGCATAGATATTTTATATATTCCCTGATACCATTTTGGATTGTGTAGTATGATAAATGTGTATTTTAATGTTCTGGTGACAACGCATTTCAGAATCTAAGTCTTCATTAGAGTAAATAATATTTTCTTAATCTTTGTCAATAAAAGGATTATTTAGACTGTTTTCGGGAAGAGGAGGTCTAATTGCCAAAATTTAGGAAAACCTAGGAAGAAGATATTCAAATAGGGAATTTAGGGGTCGGGGATTGTGTGAAAGATGAATAACAACGTCGTAGTCACAACACAGCGAAAACTGTTTTGCGTCATTAGTTTAAAGCATCGGCCAATTGGTTAACAAGTGGTTGAGGTTACCCGTCCCTGTTAATCAGAAAATCAATCGAGATTTATATGGATTGAAAGGAGAACGAGCGGCGATGAAGGAGAAAGTGGATGAGGATGCTAAAAGAGTAAATTGAGTTTGAATATTTATATAAATAATACATTAAAAG